ATGTAACACAAAACAAAATGCAACTTCTTTTAATTTGCTTTTGTGTTCTTAGTAAAAATTTAAAAGAATGAATTTGGTGATAAAAATACATGCTTCTATCATTCAGTTTGAAACATGCTGTGTTTTGAATGGCGAAATGAGGGAACTGAACGTTTGGGTTATTTAAACTATTCATCTGACTATCTGACTTGCTCATCAGAAGTACCCTAAATTAGCGCCAGTCAGGTCCAAATGATTTGAGAATAATTGAATAGGACCGGAATGCTTTTGGTTTTCTCATTCAATATTAAGTGGCGTAGATCATTTTGGCCGTATTCGACTGACCCACAATGAATGACAACTTGAAGTTACAATGAATTTGAACCTTTCTTACTCATTTATTTAGTAATAGAAAGCCAAGTCAACCAAAATCGAGTAAATTTGATGAGGATTTGCAATGAAATATTTTGAAGTAAGCGTGTTCGTGGTCTGCGCGAAAATGAAAGCAGATTTCCTTCATTCAAAAGTTAAACTCTTATCTAAATCAAAGTTAAGTTATTTACTATTTTATTAAGATTAATACTAAGTTCGGTATGAATAACAAGAGAAGTTGATCGCTAACAAAAAGAATATATTCTTACACAATTGGATTTCCCGGAAACGAATTGCTTACTAAAGCAAGTACGTTTTGAATAAAAGCCTTTCCTGGAATTTGACGACGTTGTGTAGAATGGTGGACTCAGCTAAATCGATTTTATCAGAATTTCTAACAAAGACTATAGTTCGTCTTATTTGCAACGGTACACTTTTTTATTCGAGCTACTCATCTTTGTCATTTTCCCGCTAGTGATGATGTATTTAGTTTTCCTCCAAAGTTAAATTAGTTATATATATCGAATGGGCTAATCCAAACTTAATAATCTAAACGGTTATATACTTTATTTTGTCTGATAAAGCTGTGAAGGAAGAATTTTATTTACTTCCAATACCAACACTGATGCCCAAGAAATATCAGTTATAAAAACCTGGTGTTTGATTTTTACAGGTGAGATTGAAATCTGGAATTTCTTATATAGTTCTTTTTCTGGAATTTGCAGACTAACAACGTTTTTCGCNNNTTTTCGCAGGAACCTATGGGAGCCAAGACTGCATGTATTTCTCATCCAGCCGCCAAAATAGTTTAAACACGCAGATGAGACCTTTTAAGATACCATAAAATCAAACCACAGGTACACAAGTAAAAACAAAACTGGATTCCACTAAGTATTATCCACATAGTCCGTTTTTTAGACAGTTTGGGTGAATTTGAACTAATGGTTATGACATAACTTTGCAAATAAAAACTATAATTATGTGAAGCAAATTTGGGAGTTTTTATTGACCTTTTTTATTGCGCTAAGTTAATTGTATGAAATCGAGCACAGGACAGAACCGTATATTCCATAATACTTGTTGTTATTATGCTCAAGCATGACTCAGATGATACAAATTGACGTACTGGATGCTGTAGCAGTCGGTGAAAATTATAAAAGATATATTTAATCTTTTCAAGCTCTGAAATAAAGCATGTATTTAAAAATTACCTCTCACTCATTAGCAATATCTTTACGCCATGTTGTGTTTGGAACAGTTTAAACTCAGAAGAGTTTAAGAAATGATACACAGTTACAATATAGTTCGTCATAATTTGTCATTGAAATGTTTTCAGAATTATTTAGCGGTACAAGTCCAATTGCCGTCACTTAATCCATGAAACATCGTTCATATTTTTAGTGACCTCACACAATGCATCCTCTTGATTAACAGGCCAGGTGTTTGGAGGGCAGAGAAAAGAATTAAAATAGTTTTCAAACATACTTTTGTGATTGTAAATAGCCATTGAAGCATTTGTGGAGGCAACAGTTTTTTTGACGGCACAATTTAATCGTTCGCCATCTTTCCGGCTTAGGTGGTTGTTAACGTATCATGCTAGGAAGTATTTTTCATGGAAATGCACTGCCAACTATGCAATACTTTATGAGCGTCAAAAGCTGCAGCGAGAACAATATACGGCACCATTCAGCGCGTAAATCCCCGTACATGGTTTTGGTCATCGGCTGAAATGATTATCACGATTTCGATTAAACCTGTTTATCACTGTAGCAAAGGATTTAAATTGTCCTCCGTTTACTCGAAATCTATTTGATCCATATCATCATTAGACATGCTGATAATCTAGGAAAGGCTTACATTTGTGGAATCTAGTACTGCAACCTGATTATTCTCAGTTTAGTCACTACAGCCCTCAAAGCCTTTAGTTTTTTCTTCATACTGACCTCCTGGTTAACTTTTCTCTATTGATGTGCAATTGCGGTGTCTGTTTTAAACACAAGTGCTTTGTTCCTGCTCGTAAAGTGCCGTGTTCAAGTCAGGAGGATATTCCCTTTTTATTGCTGCCAAAAATTAGATAAGAAAATGTGCTTCAGGACTTTCTAACAGCTTGATCACAGCTGATGTTGGGAAGGAGATTACATTAAGAAGAGCAAAAGCTATAGGAGCTTTGCCAACATATGGCACCGTCATGTCATTCGGCATTTCCTTAAACTTAGGGTGTAAATCACCACGGTTTGTAGGGTTTTGCTTTACGTTCACTCGATCTGAGGATGCTAATCAACTTTCTGCATTCGGCCACCAATGTCTTCAGAGTATTACTCATGTTCGGTGGGAACATTGTGTGAGGAATTACGAGGTTTGCCACCGTGTGCTGGGTGTAGATAGTTGTTATCTAAGAGAAATATTCACTCTACATCACCCCTGATGGCTTAATCACTCTTTGCATATGCCTGCTTATCGTCTACTTTTCCGTGCTCTTTTTGCACATGCGGTCCAAGGCTGAAGAAATGTTGTGGCGGTCAGACCATGACATGACGAATAGGTATGAAGAGGCTAGCTCTTGTTTTGGCTTCAATTGATGCAGCCAACTTTTCATGTTGGGACCCAAGGGATGAGGATTGTTATTGATAAGAGACGTTAAGGGATATGGCTAAGAGTAAAAGTAAGTGTTACGAATGTTATGCAGTTCATCTGCTGAAATCTTATGCCTGATAAAGAAGAACAATAAACTACTGAAAACATCGACAGGCTTACAGTGAAAAATAAAACAAAACGAAAAGACGTTATTATTGTTGCTTACTATAAATGTTTGATCCCCAACAGACTGCTTTTTATCCCATATATTACAATCCAACCGGACCCACTTTCTGTTACTACTCCTGTAGCGTTGGCACCATGCTTATCCGCAAGCCGATGCTNTACAATAAAGCTTTGATTGATAAATGAAAAGATAACGAGACTCTTTAGAAAAATTGACGAATCTCATAATAAAACTTTATTGGTTTCTCCCGATTTATCACTTTTGACAATATCCACTGTTATGGTGTCGAAATGAATTTCAGATACCTACAATTGACAAGGATGAAGAAGGAGAAATTATCCCAAACTTCCGAAGCAATATTCGTTCTGAAAACATCTCTTTCGTGTATCCTTCAAGGCCTGATATGAATGTAGGACCTGTATATGTGAACGTGTGTATCAATTTAATGAAATAATCCCTATTCAGCATTGCAGGAACCGTATTCATTCATAAAGTAAGCTGATTTCAATGTAGTTTCATTGTAAACTGGAATACTGTTTAAAATAAATTCGTCAGAAACTTCGCGGGTATCTGAATGGACATCAGCTGTTTGACGCTACTCATAGATTATGCTTAGTCTATTTCAGAGGTGTTCCCAGTTGTGTTCATCTTCACTGCCGAATATTTGATAAACCAACAGAAGGGAAACTGAAAACTCAGTGTATCAGTTCACCTTTTTCGGTTTACCATGCTGCAGTTAGCAATAAAAGAACTGGGATTTACCAAGTATCTGTTTACAGACAAATTAAAGTCCCTTTTTGTGAATGCGTCCTAATGCACACCGCGTAGGGTAGACTGTTCTGCGATTTGAAGTTCCTACTTTTTCGCCGATATCATAGAGACAGCTAACAAAAGGAGCATTGCACTTTGTTCACTCCAACATCATGTATTCTATCATAAGAGACCTAGTCTGTGTATTTTTGAGGCGAAAGGTGAATGGTTAGCCGTAGTTGAATGACTTGCATAAGCGATCGATACGTTGATTGATCTAAATAACTTCGTTAAATGTTAGAGAGATGCTTGAAGTAAACCAGATTACATTGTTAATGTATCCAATGCTCAACGACTAACAGCGATTAACCGTGACCAGTTTGTTGATACAGAGTTATTGGGAGTTATTTGACATAAAACGAATGAAGAGCAAAAACTAAGGTAACAATTTTTCACGTTGAGAAGAGAATGAAGCGCAACCGTTTCGGTTTCATATCGTTTGAAGGCGATCGATATCATTTGGACAACAAGGACGTATTTTACTTCTCGTGTATGAAACTAAAGAATACCCGGGAGACCGTACCATACGAAGGAACGGGATCCGACTATTCACTGATAAAAATCTAAGTAAACAACATAATGAATAAAAAAGAATCACTGAGAATGTCAGAGCTCCCATGCGGAATCTCGTGCGTGGAATTTCTTTGATGTTGCTGAATAAAACAGCACACCATCATGTATGACTGCTCGCTGTTTGAAGGCCTGCTGCCTCTATAGAGCCTAAGCTAAACTGCATTACATTGAGTATGCTAAGCATCACTGATGTACACAAATGGTGGGTTGTGCGATTTACGCCAAAGCAGATTTCGCCGTATCTCCACTGGTACGATGTGGCAGAAAACTACAGATTAAATTAAGTAAACAATTTAACTTCTGTTTTGATTGAGTTTTAGGCAAGCAAAGTAATAGATAAGTACTCATGAACCTAATACGAATAACATTTTTAAAGAGATTTATATTGCAATCTGTATAAAATAGTGTGTTCTTGAAAATTTATGAGTCCCGTTTGCATAACAGCTCGATCTTTAAGAGAGGTATATTCTGATATTATACTTGCTGAATTTCTATTATTTAGAAAATGAAAGATTCTCTCACTGTATCTACAAAATCAAATAAAATTCATGCATTTATTATTAACATCGATTTTGATAATCATTTCTGGTTTATTCTATTCACGATCTACATCGAGGGCGTGAATATTCGCGATTTGAATGTGAAAGCGTACCGAGAACAGCTGGGTTGTGTGCAACAAGAACCGATTCTATTCTGGGGCACCGTGACTGAGAATCTTCGAATGGGTAAATTGGACGCAACACAAGATGAAAATTGGAGAAGCAGCGAGGCAAGCCAATGCGCACGAATTTATTACAAAGCTGCCGGAGATAAGCCAAAAGGAAATTAGTGCTAAAAACCGTGTGTTATTTTAAGCCTGAAAAAAGAGTGGTATGCAAAATTTGGTCATTCGTCGATGACAAACTCTTCATTGGGTGGGGGTAGTGATGCAGTGGTTAAGTCGCTGTCATCGGCATGCTATGGACCCTGTGGTCCGAGGTTCAAGCTTCGCCAACCAACTTTGGTGGTAGGCAGCTTCTCTGTTGCCCGGTTCTATACCACGCCTGACCTAGCGGGGTCTTATGGGGTTCAACACTCCAAGTCCCGCGGCCCAGGTTACCGGTTGCCATCACTAAACGGTAGCTGATTGTGACTGCGAGGTCCGCTCTGTTTGTTGTTCATCACACAATGGTGTATAATGAAAAAGAAAAGAAATCTGCTTTTTCTGGTTCGACCGTGGCCCAGGCGCAATTGACTATCCTGCGGTCGTCCTTTATAGCATCGATGAGACCGTTGAGCAACAGGTACCGAAATGCGAACACCAAACTCAGGACGATATTGATTTACAATGCGAACCTTGCTTTTTATTTAATTGGGCGAGCCAGTGAACAACATACCTTAACAATGCGACTAAATCGCTATTCAGCTAACAGAATTCCAACAAGTGAGTAGTGACCTGATATAAATAGCAAGTGAAAAAATTGCAAAGGGGCTACTTGAATACCTTTAAGGTCAAGAAAGGGATTCTGCCCACCAAACACAAAATTGCCGCTCGTCAGGCGGGCGT